GGAGCAATGGGACCTCAAACATCAAGAATCATTTTGTTGGGTATCTGTGCGCCCTCCATTCCTCAAGTGTTGACGGTTTTGCACCGTGAACTTTATCTTTTACGGACCCCCATAGAAAGAAAAAGTCAGCTCGCACTTTAGGATAAGTTTTCTTTGTTCAGGCTTAGACTGGCTTCGCCCAATATTTCAGTCAGTTAAACCTGAAATGGAGTGAAAATTAAGTGAGTTATCAGTTGTTAAAGTGCGTATACATTTTTGAGGGGAACACCCTATGTCTCTCTCTCTCTCTCTCTCTCTCTCTCTCTCTCTCTCTCTCAAATCAGTAAAAACATATCCTCAGGTAAGGATTAAAGAAATCATAATAAAATAAAAGGCACCATACCTTCACCCTAAATTATAAAATAATAATAATAAAATTGGTGTAAAAAATCAGTATTCCCTAGCAAATGTAATCTTTTGGAACACATTTCTTTTATTTGCCCTGTTCTCTAAGACTGTTCTAATGTTCTCTGTACAAACTGCTCTATTATTATTACTCACAAGTCCTTAGCAGATGGTAATTATAAGAGTCAGTCTTTTCTTTCTGAAACTGCTTTCCAATCTCCAGGTAATTTTCCTCCTCTGTATGAGTGCATAAAAACGGTGTGGCTCATCCTTTTACTCTTGACTACAACACAACTGGAGAATAAAATTCCCAATGCATGATTACATAAACCTCTTTAAATATCTTTTTAAATCTCACTGTCAGTCCAATCGGAAGACACCATGTGATTGTATGACGTGCATGCCTGTGCCAAATTTTGCACATACCATCTGTGAAATTTCGAAAGTTCCGCTGGTGAGCATTTCAAAGATGAAACATGTCTTTGAAGATAGATGTGTCAGAAGTAAACATTGTCATTTAACGCATTGCACTGTCCAGTGTAAGACACGGTGCAGAACAGCAATGGATCAAATTGCTTTTCCCCGAATGGTGTAAATATTTTGTTCGAATCACTCCGAGAAACAAATTGATAGAATAGACAAAGTAAAAGAGACTTCTTTAAACAAGCAGAGAAACAGACATCAAAAAGGAAGAAAAATGTGATTCCTAGTTTGAAAACAAATAGAAAGATTAACGCATGGGTGGGAGAACGGCATGTCTGGGAAACCGACAGTTTCAAGCGGAGGCATGTCTGGCGGAAATCACGTCGCCCGGATGTTGACTCCTTGTATGTATATATGCGTGTGTTTGAGGTCTCGCTGATGTGTAGTGACAGTGGGAATACAGAAATGATACGACTAGGCCCGAGCCTTCAGGAGGTTTTTAGTTGGGAAGCGGAGCAAAGCCTGCACCTGATCTGTCCCAGCTATGGCTGGTAAAGACCAGCGCCTAATAATTCCCTTAAAGGCAGTGGTCGGCAAACTGCGGCTGGCGAGTCACATGCGGCTCTTTGGCCCCTTGAATGTGCCCACGAAGTTTCAATCGCACTGTACGTGCGCGCCCGCACGTGGTGTTTTGTGGAAGAGCCGCACTCAAGGGGCCGCAGTCTGCTGGCTACTGCCTTAAAGGGAGCGCTGGGAAATCAAGAGTGAGGACATCCTCTCCAAGGGAACCGCCCCAGGGCAGGCATTATGAGAAAGGAGATGAGGATCTTATTGATCGTTTAATAGCAACGACAATAATGAGACTCACGGGTATACACTAGTCATCCTCCCCACTGTTGTGGGTCTGACTTGTACCATTTCACCCCTTTCGGCTGCCTGCGATGCTGGGAGCTAGCCTGTCCCTGGGCCACAGGTCAGAAAACTGAGATGAAGGAAACCTTCCCTGGCTCACCCGGTGGTGGTGAGTGGAGACGCCACTATTACAGCCTCCCAGGCGCCACCACGGGACCAGAGCCCAACGGTCACCTCATCACACGAGGACCTCTTGGGAATAGAAGGCATCATGCTGTCTCGTCAACGTAGTTATTTTTAAACCACAAACCAGAAATCATGGTGGTCAATAATGTCTTTATTTAAAAACCTGCTCTGTTTCATTAAATAGATATTATATTGTCCGCAAGTAACTAGGCCTTAAACTAGTTTCTTTTTGTTTTGTGTTTTTTTGTTAATCCTCACCCGAGGATATCAAGTAACTAGGCCTTAAACTAAAGAGTTTTTTTGTTTTTGTTTTGTGGTGTGTTTTTTTGTTAATCCTCACCCGAGGATATTTTTCCATTGATTTTTAGAAAGAGTGGAAGAGAGAGGAAAAGAGCGAAACATCCATGTGAGAGAAACACATCGATTGGTTGCCTCCTGCACGAGCCCTGACCAGGGTCCGATTCAGGAAGGAGCCTACGACTGAGGTACGTGCCCTTGACCAGAATAGAATTCGGGACCCTTTGGTCTGCAGGCTGGTGCTCTATCCACTGAGCCACACCGGCTAGAGCTAAACTAAACAGATTTTGGGCAGCAACACGGCTGCATTTTCAGGCGCCAAAAGGCCCAGCACCGGACAGCGTCTACAGGGTATTTTCTCTTTGGCTCGGAGCGGTCTCTCCCCGAGGTGGTGACCCTGATGGCCACGCCCCTGTCTGGTTTGCCACATGATAATTGGCACCAAGGAGCACTGAGCGTAGGTAGGTTGGTTGAATGAATAATTGAATCCATAGCACACAGTCTAGAAAATAACTCGTCTAGTTTAGGTTTACCACATAAGCTGCAGAACATCCAGTGACATTAACATTCCTGATAGACAATAAATGATGTTTACTGCACAGACAGTAAAAGTCATTCCCTGCTCATCTTAAAGCCCGATCTCGCTCAGGGACCTGGGTTTGCATTGGCTCAATCTGGTGACTCTGGCCTAGTTCTTGTTATAAATCAAGATTTACTCATTTACTCAGTCACTTGTCAACAAGTGTGTGTGGCTTCATTAAGTTATTAATGATGCACTGCATGCCGGCCATGTGCCGGGAGGAACTGTGCCCTGGGGACTCAGCAATAAATACTGGCCGACGCGCGCTCCGTGGAGCATGGGTTTCCAGGGTCCTGCAGAAACTCGCATCCCCCGGGTGGCATGGACCCGAATGGGAACCTCTGGAGGGGGTGAGATAGGAAGTGATAGGGGCTGAGATAGGGAGAGCAGTGAAAAATAAGTATGTGAAGTGTTACATGGACAAGGTCATTTCAGTCCATGGTCAGGGCCCGGAAGAAAAGCGAGCAAGAGGGAAAGGGCGGAGAGGGCAGGGTGGGCCCAGGCTGCCTTAGGAAGTTACCGCTGCATGGCGAGAGGGAGCCAGCCAGACAAAGAACCGGAAGGACCAAGGAGAGAAGGAACAGCCAATACCAAGGGCCCGGGTAGAAGGGGATCGAGTGTCACAGGAAAAGGGTAAAGGCCAGTGGGACCCCATCACATGAAAAGCTCTGCACGGCACAGGAGCCATCAGCAGGCATGAAAGGCTACCTGCCCACTGGGAGGCCATGTTCGCAAAGCTGGTAACGGGTTCATATCCGAAAGATAAATGAGCTCATATAACTCAATTCCTTCCAAAAAATCCGATTAGAAAATGGCTGGAGGATCTAAGTAGACATTTTTTTCCAAAGAAGACATACAAATACCCAACACATACATAGGAAGGTGCTCAACATCACTAATCAGCAGGGAAATGTAACCAAAACCACAGTGAGCTACCACCTCACACCGTAAGAGTTACTATGATCGAAAAGGGAGGAGAGAAGTGTTGGTGAGGATATGGAGAACAGCGAACCCTTGTGTGCGATTAGTGGGACTGTAAATTGGTGCGGCCACTGTGGAAAACGTATGGAAGGTTCTCAAAAAATTAAAAATAGAATTACCATATGATCCCACTTCTAGGTATATATCCAATGGCAACTAAAATGCTAACCGGAAAAGATATATACCCCACCATCTTCATTGCAGCATCATTTACAATAGCCAACACATGGAAACAACCCCAGTGTCCACTGATAAGTTAACAAAGAAAATGTGGTACATACATACAATATATTGTTAACCCATGAAAAAGAAGGAAATCCTGCTATTTGCAACATTATGGACCGAGAGGGCATCATGCTCAGGCAGACTGAGAAAGACAAATACTGTGCGTGGAATCAGTATTGCTTATATGTGGACTCTCAAACAACAACAAACCAAACGCACAGATACAGAGAACAGATGAGTGGTTGCCAGTGGAGAGGGGTGGGGTAAGCAAAATGGGAGAAGGGGGTCCTGAGTTACAAATGTCCAGCTCTAAGATAAATCAGTCCCGAGGAGATAATGAACAGCATGAAGACTATAACTAATCAGACTGTATTATAGATTTAAGAGACTAGATCTGGAAAGTTCTCATTACAAGGACAAAATGATTTGTAACTTTGTGTTGTGATGGATGTTGGCTAAGGGTGGTGGTGATCCTTTTGTAATATATACAAATACCAAATCATTATGTTGTACACCTGAAGCTAATGTTGCATGCCAAATAGATCTCAAATTTTTTTTTAAAAAAAATAGCAAAGACCAATTGGACTGTTGTGGGTCGGGGCTGGGCAGTGGTATAAACATGGACCAGAAGATGTGAGAGGCAAGCCAGAGCCGGTCCTGCAGAAACTCGCCTCCCCCGGGGTGACATCTGGACCAGAATGAGAACCACTGGAGGGGTTAAGATAGGAAGTGACTGTCCTCTGATCTTTTCAGAAGCCCCTTGGGGTGATGGGTAGGAAATGGCTGGGTCGGGTGGGGTGGGTAGGTGTGAAAGTGGAATCCAGTTAGGAGGTGACCCAGGAGCACAGGTGAGTGACCTCATGGGCTCCTGGCAACCGGCTGACCCCGGTGGGTGACCCGGAGGCGGCTCTGAACGCAGAGGCAATAGTGCTCCTGAATGCCGTGAACTCCGAAGCTGGCAAGAGCGGTGACAGGGCTGGTGGGGGGACACACCCGTTTCCTACTTCAAGGCGTCGGGCTCGGTGTGTGACCCGCGGGTGAGCATAAAGCGACCCCTGTCCTTCTTCCCCAGCTGCCCATCCTGGCCTCGTCGGTGGTCAGCCTGTACTTCCTGGAGCTCACGGATGTCTTCAAGCCCGTGCACTCGGGGTTCAGCTGCTATGACCGCAGCCTCAGCATGCCCTACATCGAGCCCACGCAGGAGGCCGTCCCGCTCCTCATGCTGCTGAGCCTGGCTTTCGCGGGGCCCGCCATCACGGTGAGCACTGCCCCCCACTGGGCCCTGAGCCCCAGAAAACTGAGGCGGCCCCACGGGGCAGCCAAGGGGTTCAAAGCCAGTGAAAGGGACGTCTAGCTCCGGGCCCGGGAAGACCGTGGCTCTGAGAGGCCGTGAGACATCACGTGGGTACATCACCGTTTAAAATCACTGGCATGAATAACTCAAGGAGACGTGGTGGCAAACATGAAGGTTCGCTAACAGTTTATAAATCATTTTGGGGGGGGGGAGGTTTGTAACCGCATAACTCTTGAGTGGCTGGTCCACACCCTCCTTAATGCATGATCCTCGTGCGTGCGGGGCATCTGAAGTGCGGCAGCCGCAGGGAAAACCGGTGACTATCTGGCCAACAGATGAGACTCTCCTCTCAAAGGTGCATGTTGGTATCTCTCAGCATTTCCTTTCTTAATTGGCATTTTCACTGATGCCGAGCGCTGTGGGTCGCCAACTATAAAGAGGACACAACTCACGTGACACACCCACACGCGTGCACACACACAGAAAATACTTCAGATGCAGAACAGGACGTGCCTTTAAAAATATGTAGCATAAAGAAATGCCCTCCCTGCTGGAACTGAATTAAAAACATAGTCCTTTTAGGTTGTCAACAGACACATTGTGAATAACACTCTTTTTTTTAATCCTCACCCGAGTATATGTTTATTAATTTGAGAGAGAGAGGAAGGGGGGGCAAGAGAGAGAGAGAGAGAGAGAGAGAGAGGCATTGATGTGAGAAAGAAACATCAATCTCCTGTACGCACCCCGACCAGGGATCGAACCTGCAACCTTTTGGAACGACACTCCAACCAACTGAGCCACCCAGCCAGGGCGATAGCATGCTTTTTGATAAACTCATTCATAAATAAGCCTGGCCAACCCTTCTCCCCATCCCCTCTGCCCCCCGAATCCTACCTACAGGACAGCAAACGTGTTTCAAGGTGAATCATATTTATTTCGGACAGGAGGAACTCTGCCTTTGCGTTCCTCGGGGTCACGAACATCGGGGGAGGGGCTGCTGAATAAAACGCTGCCTGGGAACGGGGTGTGTACCCCTTTCCTAACCAGCTGGCCGGCGCCGGATCAGCGCGTCAGCAGTTTGGGGCGAGTCTCGGCATCGGCCTTCTGAAGTCCGTGCTTGCTTTGGCTGTGAGTTTGTTTTCTAAAAATCCCCCTACATTAATAATCATAACACGCTATGCGCACTGCACATAAATCACACCAAACACTCTCCACAGATAAAATTAGAACCTAATTTTCCAAAGAACTTCATCACGCTTCGACGACCTCAGAACGCTTTGAAAATCAATGAGTTGCTTGAGCGCAGTGACTCCGGCGCGCTGGGAGCTGTTAATGATGCATTTGCACGTAGCTGAGATCGGACGAAGGGAACACGTTTAAAGTGCGATGTTGCTCAGAAGAGCATTGTTTTCCTGTCGCTTCCTTAAGGGCATGTGAAAAATCCATACCGCCCACTCCTTTCATAAGAGCAACATGAACACGTGCGTTCACGCTATTACACTAGGAAGCATCTCTCCTCGTTGGGGGCAATGGACAAATTTATCGATTCGTTTGTTAGAAACAAAATACTGTACACATGGCCACGAGTCTGCTCAAAAGGCTGTGTTGATATCAACCAGCTGAGTAATTTGCTTTTCTATACCCCTGTCTTTCTGCCCGGGTATATTTTATTGAGCAGCTAGGAAAGCAAGTCTAGTTGTATCACACCCCTGCCCCCCCCCCCCCCCCCCCAGCACCATGACTCTCACATCCATCCCTTTGCTGACACGTGTGCTGGGGACGGGGACCTTGGCCTCATCTCTGTGTTTCTGCTTCTCTGACTCCCTCATTTCCCATAATAAGTTCTTAACATGCCATGGAAAGAGGCTTCCTGGGGGTTCTGGGTCAAAGTTTTCTTCCTTGAGCCCTGAGAAATGGACATGGAAACAGGCGGGCGCTTCTGGAAATACATCAGCAAGCACCTCCCCTCCCCGAGGAGAATCCCATCTTTAACCAAATTCGGTCATTTTGAAAATCCACGCAATGGCATAGAGACCAAGGTTGAATGGAAGTGTGAGGAAAACACTGATGTTCTCCTTGGAGAGTGGGACAGTTGGGTGATATCACAATGCGGACAAAAGCCCTAGCCGGTTTGGCTCAGTGGATAGAGCGTCAGCCTGTGGACTGAAGGGTCCCGGGATTGATTCCAGTCAACGGCACAGGCCTTGGTTGCGGGCTCAATCCCTGGTTAGGGTGTTTGCTGGATGTGTCTCTCTCACATCGATGTTATTCTCTGTCTGTCTCTCCCCCTCCCTTCCACTCTCTCTAAAAAAATAAAATAAAATAATGTTTTAAAGGTTAAAAACAACAACACACCACTCTCTCTATAATCAAGCCAGATAGCCGGAGAGCACAGTGTTGACATATGTGTTTCAGCATATTAAGCAGCTCTAATAGAAAACGCCGGAAACCTCACGGTCGTTGGAGATCATGGCTGTTGTGTTGCATGGTGAGACACCATTTCCGAATGGCGCTGTACCAACAAATTCTTATGTAACCTTGCATTCACTAATAAGAAGTGCATCATCATTACAGATGTAATTAAAAAGAAGGAAACAAAATTATCCACAGAATTGTTATTGAAGAAGTGAAAACGAACTCCATCTCTTTGAGCCCTATGACAATGCATTTCGGAAATGAGTGGGTAATTTTCTTGCGATGATCAATTTGAGACAACCATTATGCTATTCCACGCGCGTGGTGCGCCAGGAAGAATACAGACCCTTTTGTGTCGCCATACCTACCTTAAAGAGATAATGTAGGATGATATTTTTCAAGATGTATAATTAACTCAATGTCCAATGATTTGGAAAAAAATCCTTTTGATTATTTCTCTATGATTGATCTTAAAAGCCTACCATGTATGCCGCATGATTTTCACACACACGTGGTTATTGATAGAGTTTCATTAAGAAAATTGATTTTTATACAAATGCAGATTCCATAGTACCTATAGAATTAAATAGAGCAGAAGGCCAGGGGGCTCCTATCACGAGTTTTTAAAAGCCTGTCATTTTAAACAGTTCATAAAATATTATGCTCAGAACTTGAACTGGGATGTTTCCCTGAAAAAATCTATTTCAGCCCTAATCATAGTTGTAATCCTTAAAGTGACACGACCACTTATACTGAAGGGACTGCCAGGATCTCACATATCCCTGCTTTTCTCAGTTCTGCATGTTTACACAAGTCAATTCTAATTTCACAATAATCTCTTAGGCACAGTAACCCCAAATATTTTATGGTTTTTTGCATAAATAAAACACATGATTTCAGATCTTGCTTCCCTTATACAGAGTGACCAACAGCCCAGACGCCCAGGGTCATTAGCCGACGAGAATCCCACAGTGAGGTGACAGGTGCAGGCCCCACAGTGCCAGGTACTGAGCCGGACAGTGAGGGTAAAAGGTAAAGAGAAACAGGTCTCTCTCAGAGGGTCGGGGTTAGGGAGAGATCATCAAGGGCATGACGGACGTGAACTTTAACCGGGCTCTGCTAGAGGGCAGGGCGGGTGCTGAGGAGCCACATACAAGGCGACATCGTTCAATGGGGGTCTAACTATAGTCACGCCCCTCACTGACATCCAGTGTCGTAGAATCCTACGGCGAGTGCAGGCCCCTGTCAGACAGCCTTTCTGCTGGGCAGTGTGCTTGTCTGTCCACTGTTTCTAACTGGCTTATACCCAGGACGCTCTGCCCAGTAGGAATGGAGAACGTCTCAGAAGCGACTTCAGCCACATCAGCCACAATTCCATTTCAATTGTCCTGGAGGCTTCCCCTGACATTAGCTTCCCTAGAGCCTCCTGGAGCCTGCATCCTCCGATAAGACAGCCCTGGCCACCTGTGGCTATGTCCCTTTAAATCCAGATGGCCTTCCATTTTAAATAATTAAATACAATGAAATGAAATAAAAACTGGGCTCCTCAACTGCGGCAGCTGAATTTCAAGTGCTCAGTGGGCACAGGTGGGTAGCGGCTCCCGCAGTGGGCAGGGGGAGGGCACATTCATGTCGCAGAAACTCCCACTGGACACTGCGTTGGCAGCACCCTCCTCCCCTCGCGCATGCTCTCTGTGGGTAGACCCTTCTGCGCAATCCCCGCTGCTTCACTGCCACAGTCTGCTGGTGAGTGCTCCTGACCACACCCCGGTACCATCCCATGCTCCTCGGGCATCCTCTTTTCCTGGGTTTGGGAATGAAGTGCCGAGATTTCCAGAATGAGGGCAGATCCGTCCCCGGCGGGTTAGTGGGTTAGGAGCCACTGGGTGCTGGTGAGCAAAGGGCCAGATCTGGTGCTGCCACATGGAAACTCCAGATGCCATCACGCCCTTGACCAGCGGCAGGAGCTCAGAAGGTCCAACCGATGCCCTTCCGGGGGCCGGGCTGCAAGGGAGGACCGGTCACATCTCTGCTAGAACAATGCTTCTCTGCCTTGTGGCGTTGACCGTGTGTTAAGCGGTGACTTATCACTCACCCGAGTCCACGCGGGACCCTCTTGTCTTTGCAGATCATGGTGGGGGAAGGCATTCTCTACTGCTGCCTGTCCAAGAGGAGGAACGGCGTGGGCCTGGAGCCCAACATCAACGCCGGGGGCTGCAACTTCAACTCCTTCCTCAGAAGGGCCGTCCGATTTGTCGGTGGGTGTGGGAGCCGCAAAGAAAGGAAGTGGTTGTTTCAAACAGAAATGTTCTGTTTAATTACAGATATTAGGTCTTTATGGCTGTAATTTAACGTGCGCATTTCAGCATGTTTTTGTCTGAGCACTGGCGGAAGCATGCATTTACTTTGAAATGGTTCCATTGGATCTGTGTTCATTTTTTAAAATATACTTTTATTGATTTCAGGGAGGAAGGGAGAGGGAGAGAGAGAGAACCATCAATGATGAGAGAGAATCATTGCTCAGCTGCCTCCTGCATGCCCCACACTAGGGATCAAGCCTGCAACCCGGGCCTGTGCCCTGACGGGGAATCAAACCGTGACCTCCTGGTTCATAGATGGATGCTCACCCACTGAGCCACGCTGGCTGGGCTGTGTTCATTTTTAAAGTGAGAGTACGTGTCAGCAGGCCAGTAGGAATGAATGGCTCCTCACCAATGACTTTGGTCACATCAGTGATTCCACGTCGATTGTCCTGCAGTGTCTTTGTCCAGAAATTACTGCACGTAAGATGTCACCCTCAGCCCCGCACCGTGGCTGTTCCTCCTTGGTTACCCTGAGTCTCCCCCTCTGTTCTATGGGACCCCAGAAAACCCACAGGCCTGGCGAGCCGGCTTCGGACTCAATCCAGCATCTAAACCTCCGTCTCTTCTGGTTGGCATGGAAACATCTTCATGCTCTTTGAGTCACAGGTCTTTTTTTATTTGTAAGTGGGTTGAGAAGCGAAGCCACAGCTCCTCACGCCAACAGAGATGCAGTACATTCATTCCCAGTAAGTCAGTGGAAAGGTAGTGTACCTGCAACCTGTCATCTCAGAGAAACGGGGCTCATCAGCACCTCGTGGGTCATTAAACACAGCTGTCTCCGCACCGAGGGGGAGTCTGGTCCGGGTCATGGCCGGGACCCTGCCCACTAAGCAAGGCCCAGGGAGACGGGGAGACAAGGCTAGGCCCCTGGCAGCGTCAGGAACTGCCTGGGTGAGCATCCCAGTGCCCTCCGCCTGGGTGAGCATCCCAGTGCCCTCCGTCTGGGTGAGCATCCCAGTGCCCTCTGCCTGGGTGAGCATCCCAGTGCCCTCCGCCTGGGTGCCCATCCCAGTGCACCTGCAGCCCTCAGGGAGTCAGGGCCGGTTCTGGAGGTTTGGCGGCTGTGGCTAGAGTTAGGGGCTGCGGGGGGTCTGAGGGGAAGGGAGAGACAGAGCCCTGGCAGCTCAAGCATGGTAAGCAACTTCAAATTGTTTTTAATTTTCCTTCATTCCCGATATTTAACCCAACCCGTCACCTTAATGTGTTCCAGGGGTCCTATGGAGACAGGGGTCCTATGGAGACAGGGGTCCTATGGAGACAGGAGTCCGATGGTGACAGGGGTCCTATGGTGCCAGGGGTCCTATGGAGACAGGGGTCCTATGGTGACAGGGGTCCTATGGTGACAGGGGTTCTATGGTGACAGGGGTTCTATGGTGACAGAGTGACAGAGGTCCTATGGAGACAGGGGTCCTATGGAGACAGGGGGCCTATGGGGACAGGAGTCCTATGGAGACAGGGGTCCTATAGTGACAGGCGTCCTATGGAGACAGGGGTCCTATGGTGACAGGGGTCCTATGGAGACAGGGGTCCTATGGTGACAGGGGTCCTATGGAGACAGGGGTCCTATGGTGACAGGGGGCCTATGGAGACAGGGGTCCTATGGTGACAGGGGGCCTATGGAGACAGGGGTCCTATGGTGACAGGGGGCCTATGGAGACAGGGGTCCTATGGTGACAGGGGGCCTATGGAGACAGGGGTCCTATGGTGACAGGGGGCCTATGGAGACAGGGGTCCTATGGTGACAGGGGGCCTATGGAGACAGGGGTCCTATGGTGACAGGGGTCCTATGGAGACAGGGGTCCTATGGTGACAGGGGTCCTATGGTGAATATAATTGGGAATTGGCCTTATTTAACCAGACTGACAACAGTACCTCAAATAACTACTTTAAAGATACTCATTGCCATTCTGTTGACCTTCAGCATCTGTTTAGAAGTTAGGGATGTTCTGTATCATCTCCTCGAAATAGAGAGAACGATCACCACAGATCTGAAGGTCCATGGTGACCGGCATCCGCGCCGGGCGCTAACCTGGTGACAGCTCCGCCCTCTCGCGCGCAGGTGTTCACGTGTTCGGCCTGTGCTCCACGGCCCTCATCACGGACATCATCCAGCTGTCCACGGGGTACCAGGCGCCCTACTTCCTGACGGTGTGCAAGCCCAACTACACCTCCCTGAACGTCTCCTGCAAAGAAAACTCCTACATCGTGGAAGACATCTGCTCCGGCTCGGACCTCACGGTCATCAACAGCGGCAGGTAGGCCGGCTCGGGGCTCGCAGGCTCCTTAGCAGCTGGGGACCCCCGCGGCCGGCCGTTTGTGGGCGCTATGACGTTGACGTTCTTTTGCTTTTCCGTTCAGTGAGCTCTGTCGTGGCGACACCCTAGCAGCCCAGCGGTGCCTCATTCCCCGCCTTCCTCCCTGTGTCCGCATGTCAGGTCACACTGCCGCTATCTTCCCGTTCTGCCTACTCGGCTTCTGTGACCCGCCCTCTGCTCATGACGCTTAGGTGGTCGGGCTCGGTTTATTATAGGCTATTGATAGTTTTCCGTGCTTACAGTCGGTAGGGATCCGTCCTGACGTAAGTGGAAGACTAAATGTCCATGATATTTGCTCATCCGTTGTGTGTTTTATCAAACAACCCTGGGAACTGGCCTTTCGGTGGAGTTTTAAAAGGGGTAACATCTGGGATTGCATGATTACACCCGGAAGATCTGTACAGCTTCCGACCTTGCACTTCAAAAAAAACAGGAGACAGAAAAACTCAAGAACCTACCAACGCATGAACGTTTTTTCAGTCAATAAAGTAAAAAAAGAAACTTGAATGGCAAGAGGTATTTTCGAAGTTCAAGAGAAATTAGTCACAGAAGGCTGAGGGCAGTAAGTGACTGTGATATGAGGTGTATTTGTCATTCACGGACTTCCCAGAGATTGGTTTCAGGGTCAAAACCAGGTGAAAAGCACATTCACAGGAAGTCGGGGCCCGATGTGTGGAGTGAGACTCCTTCGGGTCCTCGGGTCCATGCGACAATCCTGAGCCCACATTTGTGCCCTGTGGCCCCTGTCCTTCCTCAGTCTCTTACGTTATCTTGTCTGTATTGAACGGTAACCCTTTCCAGTGGGAACCACACTACTAGAAGGACACGATTATAACTGAATTGTTTTTCCATGAAGAGAAATCTCTGTCCTTCTTCTGTTTCTTTTCCAACGTCTCTCCCCTTACCCTGTGAGCCTCCAGCTCCCTGCTTCTTCAATCATTTAACTAAACAAGAAGCTCCGTGGCCCCTGAGATAACACCCATTTCAAAGGGGACTGCACAGAGGCACGTTTTGTGAAGATGAGCTCTTTCTCATGCTTTATGGACTGTAAACACACACACCCTTAGACCCATGGCTATGAGAACATAATTTTGTGTTAAAATTTTATGTACATGAAACCATATATTTAGGAGCATAGAAGAAAATGAAAAGCTTTAAAATCCTAGGTTTGATGAACTTTCACTTTAAACTGACATGATCCTAACACCAAACAATTACAATGTCTTCCAATCCGCTTCTACTTTCCACCAACATTGCAGTCGTTGGGGAAGTGACCGGGGAGAGCCAGCACCTGCTCTGGGAAGGTGCCCCACGCGGCCTTAATGCCAGTGGTGGTGAGCGGTGCCTCTCCTACCACTCAGATGTTTCCCCGGAAAATAGAACAAATGACAGGCAGTGCTGTTGCCTGGTGGCGTTTGAGCTGAACGTGTGAGCCACGCGATGTTCATGAGCTGGTCGTGGGCGTGTGTCTGAAACAGGAGGTGTAATCTGACTGTCTTCCTTCGGCAGAAAATCATTCCCTTCCCAGCACGCGACCCTCGCCGCCTTTGCCGCTGTGTACGTGTCGGTGAGTAACGGGGTCCCTCTCATCGGTCTGTGTCCCAGAGGAAGTCAGAATGAGCTTTCTCCTCCCGAGTCCACCAGGCCGCCGTGTAACAACAGAACAGTCGGCTCCAGCGCAGGGGTCCTTCTGCACACGGCGCCCAGAGCAGAAATGGCGCTGCCAGGGACAGTGCTAAGGAAAGGACGGTTCCACGCAGGTGTGTTAGGCACGCTGCCTGGCGTCCCTGTAGTGGAATAGGGGCTTCATGAGGGGACTGTGAACTGCGTGGAGGGTGTAATTCTAAAACTGAAAGCATCGTCTTCCGTCCACACACGCACACACGCACACACGCACACACGCACAAATTCGAGCTGCTTTGCTCCTGTAACTGTGAGTTCTAAGTCAGTGTCGATAGGATAAATGCTGTGCCCTGAACTGTCATCGTAGCCGATTAATACAATAGTTCGTTAGCTCTTACGGGAGACAGATGAACAGGGATTATGACAAATACCCTAGAGCAGGGGTGGGCAAACTTTTTGACTCGAGGGCCTCAATGGGTTCTTAAACTGGACCAGAGGGCCGGAACAAAAGCATGGATGGAGTGTTTGTGTGAACTAATATAAATTCAAAGTAAACATCATTACATAAAAGGGTACGGTCTTTTTTTTCAATAGTTTTATTCATTTCAAACGGGCCAGATCCGGTCCACGGGCCGTAGTTTGCCCGCGGCTGCCCTAGAGGAATAACACGCGTGTGGCTAACTGTACCGCGTCCATCTTTTTCAGACGTCCATGTAATTCAATGAGGCTAATTTCTTGATGAGTTGTGTCTGGCGTGTCCTTCCTCTCCGGGAGAGAGCGTAGAAAGAGCAGGGGGAGCGGGACAGTAGCACTGGTGTGGAGCGCATTGGTCAGACTTTGGAGTCCAGCTTTTTATTTGATGATGATGTCATAGGAAAATGACCTTCCTCCCCGACTTAACCTCTTTCTCTCATGTGTAAGATGTACTTCAACTCCACGTTAACGGACTCCTCGAAGCTCCTGAAACCCCTCTTGGTCTTCACGTTCATCATCTGCGGCATCATCTGCGGGCTGACGCGCATCACGCAGTACAAGAACCACCCCGTGGACGTCTACTGCGGCTTCCTAATCGGAGGAGGAATCGCTCTGTACCTGGTAAATGGTTGCTATCGTTATGGGACAAGCCACGGTTTAACATGGAATTCCGCATAGACTAGGTGGCACTGTAAGGATTTACTTAAAGCAGGGGTCCTCAAACTTTTTAAACAGGGGGCCAGTTCACTGTCCCTCAGACCGTTGGAGGGCCGGGCTATCGTTTAAAAATAAAACTATGAACAATCTCCATTCTGACCCAAAGCACAGAGCCCACTTCCAGTCTAATAAGCTATTAAACCCTCACCATGGGCCAGACACTGCGATCTTCGAAGGAATATTGTATTTTATCCACACACACACACACTCACACACACGCACAGGAGCCAGGAATGAGCATACTTTTACAGATGGGGAGAGTGAATGGTGAAAGCGAAGGGTTAGTGGAAGACCATACAACTTGCCCAGCAACACAAATGGGGCTCCTGGATCCAACTGATATGGAATTATTTAACAGAAATCTGTCTTCAAGCCTGATCTTTCCTCAAGGGAAGTGTCCTCAGAATAAGGAAACTGAGATTGTCCATTTCATTAATTCATTCATTCATTCATTCTACATTTATGCAATATTCTATCTGTGCCAGGCACTATACTGAGCACCCAAAGAGTGACAAATAAGATATATCCTCAAGGCGCTTACAGTGTGAAGACTAATAAAAATACCGTAGGCAGAGGTGACTTGCAGTCTAGTGGAGGATGTTCCTACATCAATACAGTTATTAATGGAACATGAAGTAGGGATCCCTTCCCCCGGCACTCTGGCAGCGAGAGTGCAGACAGATACTTCAGGTTTGAACGGGAACCGAAGTAGTTGGAGAGACAGAGCGGGCCCTTCCCCATTCCTATTGCTCTCCATGCCCTGACATTGGAGGCTTCTTGGGGCGAGGCCACCGCCACTGTGAATTCAGCGGCTCCATCGCTTGTTACGTCCGTGGGATTCTCTCGTTTGGCCGGAGAAGGACACAGTGGCTGCCACCTATGGAATCAGCATGCGCGTGGGCGTCTGCCCTTGCTCCCATCTCTAAACGAGGCGCCTCAAAACCGAATAGCCCCGCAGGGATCGGATCCTCTGCGTGTACAGGGGTAAACATCTGACTCAGAATTTCAGCCTTTTCCAGTGTTTTATCCCCCAAAGCAAAAACAAGAAATGGAGAGCCCGCGTGTGCAGACAAAAGATTAAATAAAACTTGGCTCCGATTTCGTGTAATAGCACAAAATCCACCAACTCTGATCTCCCCACTGAAGACCAAGTTTAAGACAGGAAAGGTCGTGGGCGCCCCAGTCGGGACAGTTTCTGCCTGGTCTCCCCAGAACCTTCCGTGCCACGCTGCCCACCCGGGCTATGCTCCCGGCAACTGTGACAACACACACGCCTGACCTCGTTGCAAAACCTGGTGTCATGCATGAGGTGTTGTTCTCAATTCTCCAAACTTCTGCTTTCCGTCAGACGGAGTGATAGGAAATGAGAGGTAACAGGAACCATTTAAGCCCCCGGAGGTGCCACTCAACAAGAGATCGTGAAACCCAGAAAAAAATGAACCGCGGGGGAAAACAGAGGAAAGTTCATCCATCTGTCATTGCCCGACTTCTCTTTTCAAAACATACAGAGGATTAAACTTACAAAAACATCCCGGGGGTGGAGAAGGGAGAGAAAACCCAACTGATAAAAAATGTAATGGGGATGGGGGTGGGGGCCTGGGTGGAAAAGGTGAAGGGATGGAGCAACAATAAGTAAATAAATAAAAATAAAAACCTCACAGGCAGACAGCAGCATGGTGACTGCCACGGGGGCAAGGGAGTGAGGGAGGTGGGAGAGGGGAAAGGGAGATAAATGGAGATGGAAGGAGACTTGACTTGGGGTGGTGAACTCACAATACAATATACAGGTGATGTGTTATAGGACCATACACCTGAAACCTGTATAATTTTATTAACCAATGTCACCCCAATAAATTCAGTTTTGAAAAATGGGCTCCAGCCCCAGCCAGTTTGGCTCGGTGGATAGAGCATCAGCCCAGTGACTGGAGGGTCCTGGGCTCGATTCCGGCCAAGGGCACGCACCTCGGTTGCAGGCTGGACCCCAGCCCTGGCTGGGGCATGTTGGGAGGCAACCAATCCATGTGTCTCTCTCACATCCATGTTTCTCTCTGTGTCTCTCCTTCCACTCTAAAAATCAATGGAAAAATATCCTCGGGTGAGGACTAACCCCCCCCAAAAAAAAAATTTTTTTAAATCAAGGGATCCATATTTCTGAACAGTCTGTGGCTTGTGCTGTCACATGCACACTATTCCCCCAGTAACTGGTTTTCCTTGTTGCACAATGTGTGTTAGTTGGTGGTGGATAGAGCGTGCACCTTGCTGATGTGGTCAGAGGTCCCCTGGGAGGAGCTCCCGGTGACCTCCTG